AGAACAAAGAACAAAGAACAAAGAACAAAGAACAAAGAACAAAGAACAAAGAACAAAGAACAAAGAACAAAGAACAAAGACCAAAGAACAAAGAACAAAGAACAAAGAACAAAGAACAAAGAACAAAGAACAAAGAACAAAGAACAAAGAACAAAGAACAAAGAACAAAGAACAAAGAACAAAGAACAAAGAACAAAGAACAAACAACAAACAACAAACAACAAACAACAAACAACAAACAACAAACAACAAACAACAACAACAACAACAACAACAACAACAACAACAACAACAACAACAACAAAAAGAACAACAACAACAACAACAACAACAACAACAACAACAACAACAACAACAACAACAACAACAACAACAACAACAACAACAACAACAACAACAACAACAACAACAACAACAACAACAACAACAACAACAACAACAACAACAACAACAACACAATAATTCTTTGCGTGTGTGTTTTTGTGTTTGCCTGTCTGCCCTGCCCTGCCTTGCCCTGCCCTGCCCTTCCCTGCCCTGCCCTGCTTTGCCCTGCCCTGCCCTCTCCTGTCCTGTCCTGTGCTGTGCTGTGCGTGCTGTCCTGTCCTGTCCTGTCCCGTCCTGTTTTGTCCTGTCCTGTCATGTCCTGTCCTGTCCTGTCTGTCGGTTTTTGCTCGTTTGCTTGCTTGTTTGTCTTGTTCTTGTTTGCTTGCTTGATTGCTTGTTTGTTTGTTTGTTTGATTGATCGTTTGGCTTGTGTGCTTGTTTGTTTGGTTGGTTGGCTGGCTGGCTGGGTTGTTTGCTTGTTTGTTTGTTTGTTTGTTTGTTTGTTTGTTTGTTTGTTCTTGTGAGAGTGTACGCAAGGCCTCCGCGTGCGTGAGTGTGTACATATGTTGATGCGTGTTTGCATGTAAATATGGGACTCTGTATGCACATTGCAGTTTGGTTCGCCCAGGTTAAACATATTTCAATTAATCATTCTGCTTGATCAGGAAGCTGACAGCGGAGCATTTCAAGTCGCACCAGTCACATGGCTTCCCTCTTGACCCAAAACCGAGCAGCAACTCCAGGCACTGGAGCGGCTATCGGCTGTGAGATTCGCCTTGTTCAATCGCCAGACAGGCCTTGCGTGGGCGCCTGGGACGTTTTGCGTTGCGTGTAAGACTCCATCGAAGATGTGATTTTGCAGGTGTTGGAGTGATCAGGGTATGGGTCAAAATCAAACAAGGGGACCGCAGGTTTGAGTCCCTTGTTTCCATTTACCAGGGTTCCATTTGGGGCTCACCCTATTTTTGACCCACACCCATCACTTGTTGCACGCATGCGAAGCGCGGTGAGAGTGGGGATGTCAGCGTAGAAGCTGGGCCAACGGGCCGAGAAATCGGGAAGCCATCCTGAAACTTCGATCCCTTAATCCAGTAACTACTAACCTCCTGAGTTCACGGACTTTATACTTTTTGGGAAGACCATTTTTGTGGTAAACAAAAAGTTTAGACTTGTTTTGGCCAATCCACTCATGGAGTGAAGTTAACCGGGAGCTGGAAAGCCGTTGACACCATGAAACCGGAAGGAATCTTGTGAAACCAACCGGCAAACCCTGTCTGGGAAACTGTGAATCTAGACCAGGATATTGGTCCGAGAATGTAACGATTGAAATGTAATATTATTTCATGACATGCAATGCCTTGCAGTTCCATGCCATATACTGCAGCGTAATGTAGTGAAGTTTGGATCAGTGTAGTGTAGTGTAGTGTAGTAGGGTAGTGTAGCGCAGTAGAATAGAGTAGTGTAGTGTAGAAAAGTGTAGTGTAGTATAGCATACAGCTTCGATAAGGGGTGGGGGGGGTGTTGTTGTTCGGGGGGGGGGGGAGTTCGAACCGAACAACAAGTGGGGGGGGGGGAGTTGTTTGGGGGGGGGGGCGTTGAACGGGGGGGAGTTGTTGTTCGGGGGTTCGAACAACAATTCGAGGGGGGGGGAGTTGTTGTTTGGGGGGGAGGGTTCGAACAACAAGTGGCGTGGGGGGGGGGTTGTTGTTTGGGGCGGGGGTTTGAACAACAAGTGGGGGGGGGGGTTGTTTGGGGGGAGGGGGTTAGAACAACAAGTGAGGGGTGTGTGTATGTGTGTGTGTGTGTGGTGTTGTTGTTTGTGTAATGTGATACAATGTAACGTGACGCAATGTAGCGTAGTGCAGTGCAGTGTAGCGTAGAGTAGTGTAATCTTCGTATAATTGCAAATGGATTTTGAGCAGGTGCTATAATGTAATGTAGTCTGATAGACAATCTAGAAAATTCTAGTGCAAATGCAGTGTAGTGTAGTGTAGTGTAAAGTGATGTAACGAAATGTAATGCAATCTACTGTACTGTGGTGTATTGCAGGATAGTGTAATGTACTGTAATTGAGTTACACTGTAATTGAGTAATTGTCTAGAATATTTTAATGTGAGGTAGTGTAATGTAATTCAAGGCGATGCAATATAGTCTTGGCGGTTCCCAGTTGTGCCCT